GGCAGAATAATAACTTAAGCCTTCTGAGCATTTCACCTGGCGCTTTTATGAAGTTAGGGACAAATTATAAATCAGTGCATTTAACGTCAAGCGCTTAACTCTGTCGCAACCGGATTTTCATATTGTATTGCATCACCGTCTCTCAGTTGTCCAGCGGCGCCTTTTAGCAGTTCACGGCTCCGTGGTGTTTGAGCAGCTGTAGTGCTGGACGCATCTTGCGTCTGATTTGTTCGCTGCGGCACTTATATAAGAATAAGACATCCATCCAGCACTTCAAATGCTTAAATAACGTCGAGCCGTGACTTGCTTAAATAGTGTCTTAGGCAACTGGGAGCTGTGGGCAGTGCGATGCGCTGTGAAAATTCGTTTTTTTAGATTGTTAATGCCTCAGACTGATGTCTGAAGCCGGATTTTTCAGACGTACTACACCGCCTATTATTCATCTAAGCAGTTTACGGCTCTGTGTTGCTTGCGATAGCGAGGGTGTCAAACGAGTACAGGCTTCTGTTGCATCACTGATGACCGGTAAGGTATGTTATTTCTCTAGTCGGCAAACTGATGCGTGATGCGTCTGACACTGCAGCTGTTCAAACACCATGAAACCGGCGCCTGCATCAATACACTATGAGACAACTGGGAGCAAGGGAATGGCGCATTATGCCGTAAAATCTGATTTTATAGTAGCAGTGCATTTATGCACTTTAATTATCATATATCATTATTTATTTTGGCATATAAGTCTCCTTTACGAATTCAGCATGTTGTGAACTCATAGAACAAACTCAGCAAAAGCCTTAACTCTGAGCAGTTCGGATGATTTGCGGGAACATCAGTGTCCATGCGAGAGATTTTGCATTCATTAACTATATTGGTAGTGAGCTCTGTCAGGGATTGATTCTTATTATGGAGACATGCCTAAGCTACCACTGGAAGGTAAGTGGTATAGGGGTTGTGACGATTACTGTCAATGAGTATATGTAAAGTGGTTGACTGCACGACTCGTGCATAGTGACTTTTGATTTATGGGAGTGTATTGTAGAGCTGTTAAAGGTGCTGAAATATTTGCCCAGGCATGCTCATGCATTGACATTTGTCGTTTAGTTTTAGCATGTAATTTTAGCACTTCTGGGGTGAAGTAATGACTCATTTTTCTTAACCGCGCGTCTTGATATCTAGCCCAGTCGACCAGTTACAAACGCGACAGCTGCTGCGACGTGAGTTAAAACTACTAAACAGCAGAAGAGTGGCTGAACTTCAACCTAGACGCCGCAGATGGGAAATAACTGTTAGACTAACTCAAAGGTCGCGTTTTTCCTTGTTTCGTTGATGTGTCCGGAAAAGTTAGCTGAAATGTATTCAGGTAATGAATCCAACATCGGTTCGATATCTTAGTGACAGCGGTCAAAGTAATGATATGAAACGTCATGTTAGGGTAGAGTGCAGTGATCGATATTCTCCTTTGCTATTAAAACCTCTGATGAATTCTAAAACGGTCCGTTACCGAGTCAGTGGTTTCAGCTCTAGATCTACCTGTTTATGTCGTTCAGGCGAATTGCTTAGGGAATGTCGCATCGATTACAAATCTTAACGCAAAGATTGGCAGAGGCACCCTCAAGCTTTTTCGCTAAAGAAAACGGGTTTTGAGTATTTTCATAGTTCCGTGTTCTTTCCTGAATGGACAGTAATGATGACTGACGACATATGGAGCGGAAGTTTCGGTCAGCGCGGAGTTAACGGCATCAGTAAACCAATAGGAAAGAGCATCATTCCTACCACGATAGCGTTTTCTTAAGCATCCTTAATACTTTTCGAAATAGTGGGTGTTCTTCAGAGGAGTTTTAAATTTTAAGTATTTTTCATTTACTTGTTTATTGAAGTAGTTTAGTTCGGATTCGGGGAGTGCGCAACCACTGTTGAATCCGTAGAAAGATTAGTAGCGATTTCGCAGTAGTTTCCCTCCAGTTTTTTTGGATGGCGAGCTCTGTTTTCATATAATGGTCGTGGCTTGATGCATTTTTGAATGATTTTTGTATTTGCGTATGGTTGAAAGAGTATGGCGATAAGTTTGTAACGAAAGACGCGAGTTCTATCCGTAAAACTGTGTTAAATTAATTGTTTATTTGTGAGTTTAAGCTTTCTTGCTAAATATTCCTAAAACCTCTCTCATACAAGGCGTCCGATTCAATGTGTTGAATGTATGCTAATGTCCTCGAGATCAGCTTTGCTCAGTAGGTGGAGCGTCCGATTCAGAACCGAAGATCCAGGTTTCGAACCCTGGTGGGTTTCTGATCTTTCTTCCTTCCGAGATTGATCATCGAGTACTACTTTGTGGGAGATGAGCAAAAGATCACTCAAGTATGCACAAAACATGAAACAATTACATTATACTGATAAACAAGAAATGAAATTTAAAAGAGTGAATGAATGAAAACAGGGCAATACGAAAAGAAGCCATTGCTGATAGACGCAGTTTGTCCATAAGTTACGTTCTTCGTTAGTAGGGCTGAAGAGTATTGAGTAGGAGAACTTGCTTTCGATACACCGGTTCGACACATGCACGGAATGAAATCTCAGCTGGTGTGCGGGATCTTCGACACTTTTTGAGGCAACGGCATGGAAGATGAATTAGGTCAGCAGCACTGAATTGCCCAGATCTGTAAGCGCTCTTTCAGGACTTTTCGTCACCAAAAACCCGAACTCATCTACCTTGCAGTTGCACACACGTCCCAGAAATTTAAGAAGTTTGCCCGTGCGTCGCTGGGGCTTCATGGAGAGGTTACGGAAGTATGAAAATTTTACTGAGAGGATCGGTTATATGCTGCAGGCACTCGTGAACTCATTCAGTACCTTTGGAACAACGGAGAGCCTCTTCGAGCGGCTCAGGATCGAGACTACGCATCGAACTTTGCCAGTCTTGGCATCATCTGAAGTTCAGAACTTTGGTTCTGGCTCACAATATGTTTCAGTGATGCTTCTTTCTTTAAAGCGATGTTGGCAAACAGGAGTTTGTAGAACAAGTTGCATCAGATGTACGATCATAAATCTTTTGCAATTAAAAGCATCGGAGACCATTCTCACACGTTCAGCCTTCTTTGTATTTAACTGAAGGCGAGAAATTTTAGAGCTTCCATGGGTTCTTTAAAAGAATGGCGCCAGAAACGATCCAGTCATGAAAATGCTAGGAGGACCAACTCTCTAGCGGTTGCAAACTTTTTTCTGTTACACTCCATTCGCTGGTCGACCTTCCTGATTAACAACGCCTTCTGCCGATTTGTTGAGTAATGCCGCGACTGTATCGTCATTTGTAATTTATCGCGATCGGTACGATACCTACCGATCAAGCAAGGTCGAAAACGTCGAAAGTTTTATTCATAAGCCATTGTTTCAGACGATATATCTATTGTGAGGGATATATCTGTAGTCATTGTTATTCGAAACACCGGCTTACGTTGTAGTTTTTTTGTTTCTCTTTCCTGTTACCATTTAAGTAGAGAGCCTTTTTTGTAGTTAAACTTTTTCAAATTTCGTTGGAGACTACGAGTGTCTTATCGTTGTTACTCAGAATCGAACTTCAGGTCATTTTCGCGGTCGATTGAACATTGTTCAGGCAGAATTGCAAGATTGCAATTTGTAATTTTGTGACTCTTACGGCTATATCAATAGACCAGAGTCAAAAGCTCGAGCAGTGGTCAGTGAAATTTGGTTTTAAATGCTTGTTCACTTTTTTGTTGTATAGTGAAGTTTCATCTCACAATATAAGTATATCACAAGATTTTAGTCATTGAGACTAAGAAAAGCGGGTTATATCGGTATATTTGTTTCCGCACAGATTGGTAATTCGTCCGAATTGGTGTATACTGAAAGTAATTCACCTCTCACTGCATACATGTATTGACTGAAACTGAATTGCATTTCAGTTAAAGCCAGTAATACCGCTGTTTTACTTGATTGTTGTTATACCTACCCGTGTATCTAAGTGTCGGCATTGCTGCCTGTGTGTTTAAGTTTTTTGCCATGGCTTGAATGTAGGCTGAGGCTTAAGGAGTAATGCGGTAAAAACCGCACATTGTTTCTTTGAACTGGAAAGCGTTTCTTTCAGTCTCTGTCGATATAAATGGTTTACTAAGAACGGTAACATATTCACTGCTCAGCTAGGTCGTCGGAAGCGGGATTTCTAACTGTCTTTGTAGAGATAAAAAGGTTCATGGTGGACTACACGCAGCACAAAATTGTATTCATTAGCAAGCTTTTTTCTCTGTATCCCTTGATACATCTCCCGCAAGAAAGCGCTCATGTTAATACGAGATTTTGTTGTCACCTGGTACAGTAAACCGGAGTGTAAGCAGTCATCGTTCCGTGCGTTCCAATATCTGTCATGAGATTCATGGTCGTCAATTGTCATTGTTGACCGTGGTTGTCACTGTTTTCAGATATTTTCAAAGCTTCTATAATGACATTCTCTTCTGTATAATATAACATTATTCACGAAGGACACTCGATATTAATAAACGTTTCTGTTTAGGACACATCGTTCCGAATGGGTTATGGAGTAATTTGCCGGTCGAACAGTCTGTACGTCATCCGGTGAACTTCTTTGATTTTATTAACCTTCATCTTCACTTAGGCGCGTACTGCCGACCCATCTCAGTTCGGTTTCAACGGAGTGTGCGTCGACCCGAAGAAGCGGCTGGTAGGCCTAGTACTTTTCGTCATTAATGATGATTCGATCATGTTTTGTGATTTTAGTTCGGTGGCTCTGCGATGCCGTCCGTAAACAGCCCCGGCCTGGCGCAGAATTCACTGTTCAACAAGGTGGCCGTCGCCTTTCCGGGCTTTGACTATTACAGTGGTAGTGGTGACTCGCGCGACTACTGGCTTCCTCCCGCTGGTGGGATGCTAGCGCCCCCGGGCTGCATTCAGTCCCCGACGCCTTACTCCTCGATCGTCGACTCTAACGCCGCAGCAGCTGCCAACTTCCATGGCATGCTGCCAAACGCGGTGGGCGGCGAAAGGCCTGCCGTGCCGTCCGTCGTCCCCAACGATATAAGCAAGCTGACGTCTTTAAACCCCTCATTCCTGCCACAAGCCGGATTCGGCGCGATAAACGGCTCTCAGACGGGCGACGCCCTGGGCAAGGCTCTCGCTTCCGTACAGCTTACACATTCGCTTTGCCTTGTTATTAATAAACGTCGCTATTATAGATATACAACGATCAAGTGTCCGCATCTGACACTCAGTGGCAAAACGAAGCTGGTTCCCATGTGATTTCTAATGAATCAGATGCGTCGCGATATAGAAATCTGAATGTTTATCCTGTGGTATGCAGATGGTTATGTCAGTTATCAGCGTGTCTTTTATATCCAGTGCTCAATAACTTCATCGAAAGTTCTGCATTTTACATTTTTCTGGTGGTATAAAGGGCTGACTTTGGGAAAATTAGTCTGACTTAATTAGCGCTTTTCGCAAAGTGGTGTCTGTCGGTTCTAGAAACATGCAGCGAACGAAGTGAAGTAAAGAGGCAGGACTGTTCAAAAAATTTCAATTGCTAAAGATCTTGGATTGCGAAACAAGGTATTCCATGATCAAACTATGAGCAGAAAATGCCACTGTTGAAGTCAGTGCGTGGCAAACGCTAGCATATATGTTAGAAATGACGATGAAATATAGACAGTTGTGGTGTAGTATATTCCAGTCAAAGACGAAACGTGGACATATTCAGTGTTAGGTGAATTCAAGAACGAAAGCGGTGAGGTGCTGAAAAACGAAACGAAAATTCGCCGCAGATAACGAGTACATTTTCAAACATTACTAAACGAGAGACGCTTCAATGGGACGTCGGGAGAGCTACATGGAAACTAAGAATTAGTCAGAAAAGTTTTACTCAAGGACTTGAGGAAACTTTGGTCTGGTCGAAGAAAAGTGTTCCTCATAGCAGGTGAAATTTCCACAAAAGCATGAAAAGCGAAAATGTATCAAGCATGGAAGAAGAGTATCATGTTCCTAATTTCTTAAATAAGTTGCGACGGTTGTCTGTAGTGACTAGGAAAGAAGTTGATATCATCCAAAACCATGTTTTCTATATCAGACCAATGAACTGTGCATGTCATATCTACATTATTATCTGTTACATTGAAAGCAGAGAACGAAATCAAGATATTCACGTCTCTTGCAGACCTAAAAATAGCATATTGTGGATTACCACTGAATACTGCGTGAGGGGGTTTTAGATAAAAGCTGGACCAGAGCAAGGTACTAAGATAGCTCCAGCATATATTATAGAGTTGAGGTACATGCGGTGAAATGGAAGATTTCTTGTTCGGTAATGTCCGTGGAAGATGGTCATATTTAGACACCCGTTTCTGATGTCTGTGGAATGACAGATATGCTAATTGAAGACCTGATAAATCTTGAGTCCAGACAATTCCATCTCTGGCTTTGCGATCAGAAGGTTAGTGCTGTATAGCCAACACAGAAGACGTTAAAGCGACTGGTAGTATGCGAGAGCAGTTTATAATTAACTAAGGTTTGGTTTCAGTGAGAACAAAACTAAATGGAAGTCGTGATGTTTCAGTAGAGAGAACAGCCAAAAACACCAGCGAATCAATAAATAGTGGAGGAGTCATTTTTGCTGAGTAATTTGCATTGACATATTTTCTTTAATCAGACAAGAAGCCAGTGAATCTAAAACGTGGGTCAGAAATGACTTGGTCCACTAAAAGAGACGAACAAAGAGCTTCCTGATTTCATTGAGGTACGGGCGTTCGGGGCTTAATGTTAGGTTACGCTGGAGACACTACAGCCATTGAACCCGATGGAACTGTGGATATCCAAATGAACATGTGGTGTCAACAAGAAAGACCGTTTTCAGAATACGTTCAGAAGCGACACATTTCTGGCAGTTTCAGTAGCAGGATGAAGTTACCAAACGTAGGTATTACCTGTTGAAAATCGGACCCGAGGTATTGTCTTCATTGTCATCCATACACTATTAACATTGCGGAACGGCAAGTAAAATACCAAAGAAAGGAGTGGCGGTACTGTTAAAAACGGTATAAAGCTGTACGAAGTGACGGATGAGTTATCCGAGCTTCAGAGAATATGGAGGTAATCAACTCGTATCGAGTAAATGCTCGGAAGATTGGGCGATGTACATACAATTTGCAGTCATAATGTATGGCTGCGCGTCAGTTTTTACCTCAAAACTCCCCGATGCCTCATATTTCTACTCCGAAGCTTTAGACATGGCAAGGTGTTCTACACTGTGAAGTGGAAACGAAGGTTATTTCTGCGTTACATACATTATCATTTATGCTGTTCGATGATTCATCTGAAATATGTCAGAGATGCCTCAAATGGGCCAAGTAGTGTAGAACTAAGATGTATAATACGCCTGCGCTTTTAGCTTAATCATACTTCTTGATACCATTTTGATGCATGCTCTCATAGTCAGGGTAATATCCGATTGTCGGTAGATTCGCAACTTGCGGGTCGTAAAACTAAGCGTATGCCTAGCAGGCCTTTTCCCGGTTCCAGTTGATTCATTCGTACACGTGCTTGTCGTTGGTTTTTGCTACCATTGCTTTTGGTTGTTAATTTTTTCTTAAATTTCAGCGAAATGTTTCCGTAGACAATGCGACTTTGATTGAAGGAAGATCAGGCAGCCCTTCCGTTTTAAATGGTATACATTCTTTGCAATATGCAGTTTTGTGACGTCTTCTATTGTGAATGCCATGTGCATTAATATCAACGCTCTTGTAATAAGGGCTCTGGACCAATATGTCGGGTGCATGTTTCAGTGCTCTGTTTCAGCTTTAGCCGTTCAGACCAACGGCCTCGGTGGTGTCAGTGTTGCGTCGGAACTGTCTTCGAATCTTTCCATAGCCGCCGACTCACCCCTTGACACCAAGGACATGAGCATGACCCCTGGCAGCTCAGCATCGTGTAATCCGTCGATCAGTCGTTGCAACAGTGCCGGCGGCGGCAAGAAGCGTTGCCGATCACAGCAAAATGAAGACGACGAAAACCCAGCCGAAAAGGAGCGTCGCGAGCGCGAACGACGGCACGCCAATAACGCCAGAGAACGGTATAATACAC